AGTTAAGTGTGACTCACGCCTGCAGCAAATGACTCAGATTTACCCCAAATTAAACTGTGGCAGAGCTCAGAGGCCTGTCCCCACTCCAGCAGAGAAAAGAACTCAGCCAGCTCTCTGTAGGACTCCTTCCTGGACCTCTGGGTAATGGAGAAGGAGAAAGGGGATCCCCGCCTCCTTGCTGGTAGACCAGTGGGATGGGAGATCTATTGAGCAAGCAAGGTCTGTGGCAAGCTCTCATATGGAGGGGGGGGCAGGATCTCATTTAGAGCAAATTGTGGAGCAATGCGGGCCACTGGGAAGTGGGAGTTTCCCTCCAAGCCTGTTCCTGTATTAATGGCTCTCCACTATCCTGGCTCAGCAATACCAGGCCAACAGATTGCTCATTTTGTCCCCAGTGGCAGGCATTAAGCAGGGCGATTTAGGATGAGAACACTCATATTTGGAAGTCTTTTCTTTGAGGACAAATGGAAAATTACCTTTTCTTTGGCTCTGTGAGTGCGAGCAGCAGGTGTGAACACTTTTCTGTCAACACTCAGGGCCCAGCCTCCTGGCTTGCCTGTGATGTATGCTTACTAAAGCAGAGAGGGCCGAAGGAGGCAGGAGGAACCCAGGAGGGAGGTCCCCCAAGCCTATCCTCACTCACTCCCTGTTGGGTAGCAATTTCTAAACTGAAACATTCCATCCGGGAAGGATACTTAAAGCTCCGGAAGTGAATGAAACCACAGACCCAGGAAGACCCTGAAGCTTACAAGACAAACAAGGCTACTTGCTGACCAGGGCTTCTGAGCAGTGACAATTGTTGGGGAGAGGAGAGTTATCCATAGGGTTTCAGGGGTAAAGCTTTCCGGAGCAGTCACCCAGGCTGGGCTTGGCTTCTCAGGTATGCAGGCTGCCTTCAAATCGCCCACACTCCCCTACATCCTCACGCCTGCTCTTGTCCCTCCTATAAGGAACCCCAATTCACTGGTCTTTCATAACTCTGCTAGACTTGAGTAGAGTCATCTCTCTGGTCTGTCTTCAGTGCTCTGTCTGGGATCAATAGGCATCCATTTGTGTCTCCCCAGGAGAAGCTACTCAACACTCAGGCTCTCCCCGTTTTACTCAGGTGAGTGTGGGTTTAGTGACTCTGTGTCCTCTTTGCTAGCAAGGTAGAAGACTGGACTGGCATCATGTGATTCTGCCCTCATCTGACTATGTGTAACATATGGTGCCTCCGGACAGCGAGTGGAAAACCCACCCACCAACCTCTCAGCCTTGGAGATGCAAATACAAAGGACAACTCGGGGCTCCTGCATCAGCTGTGATGCTCCACACCCCTGCCCCTGTCCTTTAGACAATGTCCTTGTTCCAGCTTTCTAGCCCCTCCTGATTGGTTAGCCTGGAAAACCCCTTTATTCTCTTGTTATCCAGCTGTGGTTGGATGTGGCCAGCTGTGCTTCATCACCCATCAGATGGGAAGGAATCTTGGGGACATGGCTAGGGGGTTCTATGAGGTGTGGGCAGCTGTGTATCCGTCACTAACTCATCCTGAGCCCACGGTCGCTCACAGCTACTGAGGAAAACCAAACTTTGCTTCAAAATACTTATTTTCATTAGTTTTAATTACATAGAGGTGTGTGTGTGTGTGTGTGTGTGTGTGTGTGTGTGTGTGTGTGTGTGTCTATGTGTATATAAGTGCAGTTGCCCAAAGAGATGGAGGTATCAGATACCTTGGAGCTGCAGCTACAGATAGTTGTGAGCTGCCCTGTGAGTGCTAGAATCCAAATTTAGGTCCTCTAGATGAGAAGCAAGTGCTCTTAACCACTGCGCCACTTCTCCATCCCTAAACCTTTAACTTTTGTGGTACTAGGAATTGATGCTAGAGCTTTGTACATGGCAGGCAAGTGTGCCGCTGCTGAGCTACATCCTTGGTGCTATGGTTTGTTTTTTGTTTTGTTTTTGTTTTTGTTTTTGTTTTAGTCTCAATAATTGTCCAGACTGACCTTCAGCTTCTCTGCTTCCTGCTTCAGCCTTTGGAGTAACAGGGATTACAGGCTGGCATGCACACTGTGTGACACACCTGAACATGAACAGCTGTGTGCAGTAGCTCCACTCAGGTAGCCCTGAAGGCGGCAGTGGAGGGACATCATCCCGGGGACCAGAAGTCCCGGCTGTGTGTTTGGTTTCCACGGTGTCAGAGTGAGAGATGGCTGATGGCCAGCAGGCTGAACCTGCTCTCCACTGTGGGCATTAGCTAATGGCTTGGAAAGAACGAGGTGCAGAGACTGCTGACCGCAAAGATGTTTGTGGAACCAAGTCCTGGGATGAAAAGATCCTGTGATGATGTTTGTATCTCACGAGATGCCCACTGCAAGGGCAACCACCTGGAAGAGACTCCTGGCAGTCAAGTGGACAGGGTGACACTGGCTAGTCTCTACCTCCCTCCAACCCAGGGCTTGCTCAGTAGTTCAAGAATAAAGTAACCATGGTCTCAGCGTTGGAGGCTGCCCAAGGGCTCCATGGGAGGCTGTCCTGAATGTGCACTACTGTCTGGTCTGCCAACAGTTGAAACCATACAGAGGCTGAGCCCTGACATAGACCATTCCTGAGCAGTAGGGACAGCCATCCGCATGATGGAAGCTTGCTGGCATGGGTTACCTCCCATTGTGGGGACAGATTGGTCCCACAGGAGTGAATGCTGCCTGTGGGCTTGAACCTGCCTTCCCTACTTGTACTGGCTTAGCCCTCATCACCACGGATGGGTTCAAGACTACACTCCTCAAGGGGATGTCCTTCTAGCATTCTTTGGTCAAGGAATGCCCTCCATAGTAGAAGGCTCCTACCCATGGGCTAGTCTGTGGTAGCATACACCGCCTCACAGATGCAGTGGCCAAACCAGAGGGCAAATGCCACCCTCATGCCTCTGTCAAGCACAGCAGGGTTACAACATGGTGTGCAGTGTAAGCTTGAGTCAGGACTGCACTGTGGTGCTGTCTTACTGAGCAGGAATGCCTGGGTATGAGATGCCAGGTGGGAGAGCATCTCTTCTCACGCCACAATGCCTCTCCATGCAGCATGCACATGTGAGCAAATGTAGCCTATGCAAGTTTCAGTAATGACATTTCCAACTTAAAAATTGCATGTTCATTTAGCACAGATGTCTTAATAGTATTTTAACTTGCACACGTGACATTTAGCTTTTATATTTGTCTCTGTGATTTTTGGGCTTCTGAGTCAATTGTGCAGCTCAATGCTACATGGATGACCTACTTCATGTTTGGTTTATATCAGGGCTCCTCTTTTTCTACACCCCAACCTCAGCTTTTTTTCACACTGAGAACCATTTGCTTTCTCTTTGCTTGTGTTGTTACTTTATTATTATCCACAAAAGCTTATTTCCCTCTAACCAGCTCAAACCTTACCACATTTCTCATTCCTTAGTGGCTTCCAAATTCTACACTTTGGTTTGAAAAGGTGGTTTATGTGTTGAATCACTATGATAAACTCCCTGGTTTCCTTCAGATCTCCATGCTTGGTTTTACTGTCTGGAACCTAATGTCTGATGCCACCTGTTCTTTATGTCTGTTTTTCCTTATGTGGTTGGGTGTTTATGCTGTGGATGGATTGGACAGTCCATCTCTTCTCCGAATTTGGAATGCCTCCTTCATGGCTCTACTATAAACTAAAATCTGATACTTACAGGAACATGCTTCTCCTGTCTTATTCATTCAATTAATGATGTTTGTAGCACCAGTGGCATGCCACTTTGATGATGTCACCTGTATACTTTTACATCTTCTAGGACCACTCTTCTCTAGTTTTGCTTTTCCTGGTCAACAAAGCAGGGATTTTTCAATATTTTTATATTGTAAACTTTCTCCCTTACGAACTCCAAAATGGATCTATCAAGTGGCATGCAGGTATTATTAGACCAGAGAGGATATCAGGGACACTGTAGATGACTTTATGGGCAATTTACCAACTTGATGTATAAGGGAAGTCCATTTACAGGGTCATAAGGGATGTCTTCTCTTATAAGGGGAATTCAAGTGGAGCCAGGAGTGAAGTGGCCTAGTGAGTCGTGAAGAACATTCTATATAGAGGAGCAAGGGCTATGGGATGGTTTGGTGAACAATGCACCTAGTGTTTGAGAAACAGCTGCATGGTCAAGGTTAAAGTAGACCAAACTGGGCAGGCCAGAAAGACCCCAGGGTGAGACCCTGAGTCACTGGGTCTACAGCGAGGACATTGTCTCGCTTTGTTCTACAGTAATGGGAAGCTCAGTAGACAAGGTTGATTTTTGTATGTTAGGATGTCACTGAATCATAGTGTGTAAAGGTAGAAATCAAAGCAGAGAGGCAAGTGAGAGGCCCTTCCATGGGTTCAGAAGGGAAACGGTGTCACAAAGAACCAAAGGAAACCTCAAGAAGGTTAGTGTTTTAAGTCAAAGATAAGAATGACAGAGGGAGATGATCACAATTATGTGATGTGTAGCTACAGAATAAGGTAAGCAGTGCCAAGGAACCCAGCCTGGGTGTCCATAGAAGAGACAGCCCTCTGACCATTAAGAAGTATAGGTAGTCTTCGTGTATAACACAGTCACATCCTGATAAATCCATCACAAACTGAAGAGAGGGTAAATAAAAAAGCACAGAGTACCCATACCACGCCTCCTGACTCATCAGTACACTGTATTATGCACAGTCCAATTGTTTGCCTTCCAGATCACTGGGCTGACTGGGAGCTATGAATAGATGTTTCTGCCCAGCATTGAGAAAACCACAGAAGCCACATTGCAATTCAAAGTCAGGTTTCTATTGAATGCATTGCTTTCAACACCAAAGCAAGCCCTACATCAGAACCTGTGTGTAATGAAGTTCTTCCAGGGTCTGATGAACATCAAAGAAACGTCATGTCGCTCCAAGTTCCATCAAGTCACTCTAGCCCCACCTCGTCACAACGACCCCCTTTCCTTGTCTTATTCTTTTAAAGTAGCAACTACCACTGTCCTGTGTATTTACCACTCAGTTGTCTAGTTTCTCCACTGAAGCAGAAGGTCCCTGTGGACAACTTTCCCTTTTTGTTTCCATCATTCTGTCTTCTGGGGGTCTCCAAGGGCACCTAGAATGTATTACGGGCTGGATAAAGACCTGTTGAAGAGAAGGAATGGATTAGTTACTTCCTGTTGCTGTGAAACAAGGCACACCATGATCAAGGCAAATTATGGAAGATAGTTTATTTAGGCTTATGATTCTGGAGATTGAGAGTCCATGGTGGCATTAGCAGGAAGCTAAGGGCTCAGATCCTGAACCACAATCATAAGTGTAGAGAGCAAACATGAAATGGTGCAAATCCCTAAACTCTCAAAGATTGCCTCTACTGACATGCCTCCTCCAGCAAGACCATCTAGGCCTCCCCGCAGCAACACCAACTCTGGACCAAGTGTCCAAATGCCTGGACCCATGGTGGGGGCATTTCTCATTCAAACCGCCACAAGGAGGAAAGAGGCATGGAAGGAAGCAGGAAGTCTAGGTAGCAATCTTGCACAGGTCAAATGTATGAATGTGTGTTGTGCATTTATTTCAGACTGGGTGGAGAGGGGTCGGAATTTTCATATTAGAAAACTGTTGCTGGGATGGCCTCTTACCCAGCTTCCTCTCTGAGAACTTGTATCTCAAGTGTGTTGTTGTTTCTAATGCATTTCCTTTAAAGCTTTGTCTAAAACATTTTCTATAATGTATCACTTCTTTTCTTGTCTTATTGCATTGGGCAAGACATACAGAAACACTTTGAAAAGGGGCACCTTTCCAGCTGAGATAGGCCATGTCTCACTAAAAGCTACCGACACTTGGTCCTATGGTGCCATGGTTTCTGGTAGATCAGCATGAGCCATGGCATTTTTGGTCACAGGCAGTGGACTTCACTTGTCACAGTTACGACTGTTGTCTGTGCTCTTGCTTGTGTACTTGAAGCAACCCTGCAAGAGGAATTTTGCCACGGCCACTTTTGGGTCCAAGCTATCAATTATAGTGACAGCATCTCTGCATTCTCAGTGGCTGTGGACTTAGGTCCCCAGGAGCTGACAGACAAAGTATATCCTGCTTATGGGAGCAGACTTTCCTTTGTGGATTGTTTTTGCAAATAAACATGTTCTATCTTCAACTCCACTCGGCTTTAGAGTTCTCCTTCTACTGGTGAGAGTGGCAACCATCCATGGCAGCTGTTTTGAGGTTATTCACATGATCCCTCTGGTCCAGGGTGCTTTTCTAAGAAGATTTCTACCTTTGGAGTTTTGTACATATGATTAAGTGCACACAGATGGTCCTTATCCCCAGCCAGCCTCCACCAGCTCTTCACATCTTCATGGTCACAAGGATTCTAATTAAACACACGTTTATTGATTCTGGCTTGAAGAGTTGAGGTTGTCAACTCCACTCTGTAATCAGCTAGGCTGTGTTCCGTCCTGTGCACAGTTTGATTTCCAATGCTCAGGAAAGCAAATTCTACCAAAAGCCAAGCAGGGGTCAAACAAAAAAGTTTAGGGACCACAGAAGAAAAGCTGTGGGGTGATGAAGGGGGGTAGGGGTGAGATGAGGTAGAGTGAGAAGAAAGGAAAGGAAGATAAGGAGGAAGAGGAGGAATGGAACACAGGGATACATACAGGTAGGCATGGCTGTGCTGAGGACCAAGCCAGGATGGGACTGGATTTGCAGGAGAGTCAGTGGGGGACAAAGTGGGGAAGGAGGAAGACAGGGAGCTGTCGGACAACTACACAGGGGGAAGACGGTAGGCTGACAAAGAAAGGCTGAAACTATAGCAGAGTCCTAGGGAAACACTGGCCAGATTAGAGGAGAATCCTCATGCCAAGTTGCCCATCAGATGCATCCCCTGCCTCACTATGCTGAGCCATCAGCTAGGAGCAATGCTCAGGAGACCACAGGGTGGAAGATGCAGGACCTCTGGAGGGGACTGTCTAGAGTCCTGAGTCTTTTATGGAGACTAAGGAACCAGTAGAAAATGTAGGAGAGTGGAAAGGAAATCGAAGCAATCGTAAGTATGTATTTTCTATCTGCTGTAAAGTGAATTTATATTTATATAAAAGTCCGTGCTACTACAAAATGAACAGTGTTGTCAGATTCTTGTTTTCACACACACATATATTAGGTTTTTTCCCCCTGTGGCTGTGATAAACACCATGAAAAAAGGTAACCTGGGAGATGAGAAGGATGATTTGCCTTATAACTCACAGTCTGTCATGGAGAAAAGTCAGGATAGGAACTCAAGGCAGGAATCTGGAGGCAGGAACTGGATCAGAGGCCATCGAGGGAGGAGTGCTGCTTACTGATGTGCTTCCCCTGGTTTGCTCAGCTACTTTTCTGATACAGCCCAGACCCACCTGCCTAGGTGGAGTGGACCCCTCCAAACCAATTCGGCATTCATTAAATTGCCCCACAGACATGGCCATGGGACAATCTGATAGAGGCAATTCCTCGGTTTTTGAGATCCCTTTTTCCAGGTATGTGTCAAGTTGGCAAAAATGAAGCAGCAGAATGCACACAAGCAAACAGCAAGCATTTATACACTCCACAGAGCCTCTCCCAAGAGAACAGGACATGGAGAAGACTGTAGCACAAAGCAGAGGGATAAGCAATGGAGGACCCTTCTTTGCCGTGGAGGGAAGGATGGCCTTTACAGTTTACATAAATATTCTTCCAAAGATCTTAATGTTTTCCTCGGGAATCCACTGACTCAACCCCAAGGCACTGTGGGGAGAAAATCAAATGTTCACTTCTACTTTCCCCATTGGCTTTAAGAATCACAAGGTCATCTTGGGTTGAAGTAATGTGGCAGGTGGTTTAGGGGAACCTCTGTAGAAGGGATGGAGAAGAGCAGCCTCCTCTTGCCACAGGTGACCATCAGGGGACATGATGGAAAGGACTAAAGAGAGACAAGCCCTCCTTATTCACTTGCAGTGTTGAAATTCTTAGGATTCTTATGGGGACTGGAGGGATGAATCAGTGGTTAACAAGACTGACTGTTGTTGCAGGAGACTGTGAGGTTCAAGTTCCGGCACCCACATGGATGCTATAGTTCCAGTTCTAGGAAATCCAACACCCTCTTCTAACATACATGGTGCACAGGCAAACACTCATATACATAAAATGAAAGTAAATAAACATTTAAAATTTAAAGAAAATATTGTGACTTTCACTGGGAGTAGGTGAGGCCCCTGGGGGAGGAGTGGCTATAGCCTCAAAGGGGAAATTTAGAATGAAAGCTGATAAAACTGTAAGATTGCTATGAATAAATGATACCACAGACTATTCACATTTATTTATTTTTTTCTTTCTTCAAAAACTTGGGATAAAATATTTATGTCATAAAGGCAGGCAGGCACACTGCTAGAAAAGTAACCAAGAGCTCAAATCTGATCTGCAAGCTGCAGGCAGAGAGCCAGTGACTGGGCCTGGTGTGGGCGGTTGAATTTTCAAAGCCCACCCTGTGACACATCTACTCTGATGAGGCCACTCCTATTCCAACACAACCACACCTCCTAATCCTTCCTAAACAGTTCCACTATTTCGGGACCAAGCATTCAAAGATATGAGCCTATGTGGGCCATTCCCATTCAAACCTCCAAAGGAGACATTTTATTGTTCAAGTCTGTGTTTCTGTAATTAGTGAAAATTTTGTCTCCTTTCCTTGTGCTTAGCTACCATGGATCTTTTCCCCGGTAGTAGCCACTGTTATAAGTGGTTTAGGGTCCCAAGAAAACAACCACATGATACAACGTATTTCAACACAGCTTTACTTGTTTGTGCAAAAGGGTGTGTAGCCATGCATAATGAAGCAGGCAAGCACGACCAGGTTGGGTTTCAGTGGGCTTTTATTCCTAAGACAAGGGGATCCTGTGCCTCACTCTGAGTGGTCTGAGCTTGGTTCCACATACACTTAGGCAGTTGGCTGACTCAGAATGGAGGAAAAGCAAAGTATAATTTTTGAAAACAGGATGTGACCTTGAGCATGTATTTTAATTTCAAGAAGTGTTACCATTGAAGGATTTGAATCTCTGCCAAGTGATACACACACACACACACACACACACACACACACACACACACACACACACACACACACATATATATAAAACTGGAGTTTGTTTTACTTAACCCTGTTAACAGAAAAGACCTACATTTTGTTTACATTCCCCATACTACCCAGCTCCTCTATCTTTGGCCTATGCTTGTTCAACCTGCTGTCACCGAGTTCTGTTTTTAAACCTGTATACTCAGGCCATCTGTCCTGAGACAAAGGTTTGCATTGCTGTGCTGTCCTGGGTTGCCAATGCTTTCTCCCAGTCTATGGCTTCCCTTTCCATTTTCTTAATGGTGTCTTTTGATGTGAAGAAGCTTTTAATTTTGAGGAAGCTCAAATTGTCAATTTATTTTCTCTTCTGGTTATTGCTTTTTGTCTCCTGCACAAGACCTTTGCCTGCTCTCAGACTGCAATTGCTTCCTTTAGTCTTCCTTTAAAAGCTTTATGGCCATAGTTTTTTTTTAACATGGGAAACTATCATCTCAATTAATTTTTGTGAAAGAGGGGCTGATTTTCTTTTCTAAATGGATGTCTGGTCGCAGCATTGCTTCTGCAAATGGCTTCCCTCTTTCCATCGAATCACCTCAATGTCTTTGTCAAAAATCAATTGCCTTTTAGGTCTAAGTCAATTTGGACTCTTACTTCCATTGATCTCTGTCCTAAATGGCTACTGCCAGCCCATTGTCCTACTTACTATGGCTGTCTCACAAGCACTGAGATCCATTATGAATTGAATCATCAGACTGTCTTTTGTTTCACATACTTCAAAAATTGCATGGTGATATGAATTGTAAACTCAACTTATGACCATTAGTTAAAAACAAGCCTGGACATGTTTTTTAGGGAATTGTGTTCACTCTGTAGAGCTTTAGGTGAGAACATGATTGGTCAATACTGAGTCCCCCATTCTATGAACATAGTACACCTCCCCAGTCACATGCCTCTTCTTTGACATCAGAACACATGCCTATGTTTTCCAAGTACAGAAGGTCACATGTGGCATTTAGCAAAGTTATATTTAAGTGCTTTGTTGACTTTGTTATTATCCTTAATT